AACAGGGATTGTTGATTTTCTCATGTACCACATTTTTGAGATTTCTATTTCAAGGTACTTGTATTTTGACAGCTTTTTGAATTATTATTATTATTATTATTATTATTATTATTATTATTATTATTATTATTATCTAAGATACTTAGCCTACTTTATTTATTTTTATATTGCTCGGGATTTTTACAGTCAATACTTAAACTTATTGGTTTATACTTTTTAAGGACGTAATCACAGTTATCCATTTATATCTTTTCTTTATCATCCATGAAGTGACATGATTTGCAATTACTATGCCATAAAATTCACTAAACCTCGCTCTCATCTACTATGCTATTGGTTCAATCCCTGTGTTTGGCAGTACAGATTTAAACTCGGGGGAAACACAACTAGAAATAACTAAGTAATAGTAAAATAATATGAGATACTCCTGTCATTGACAGCGGAACGAGTATCCTCTACTCGCGTAGATTAAATAAAGTATTCAGTTGGAAGTTCTCTGAAGGTTACTCGGATCGACAATCTTCTGGTGAAGTTCAGAGGGTAAAACGGCCGAAACCTTGTGAAAAAGATGAGAATATTAGTAAGAATGTAAAAAATGTAAAGAGAGAAAGTCATATTATTTATCTTTTTATTTCTTCGCAAATTCCGTTTTGCTTTGTAGCCATCATTTTGCACTAACGCGCTGTAAGAAAGGCATGAACTCATTTTCTTCTCCAGTAATAGGTTAAATAGAAGGGTAGAGTAGTCACTGTTGCCTTAGGTCGTAGCTAATCTAGGGGAAGGAAAACTCTGAATCCCAAACCAGGCACGTCATGTCAATACAGAGATTATAGAGAAATGCAATATCCAGAGAGTCATGATCGTCTATATTATTAAGGACTGAAACATTTTTACGGCTTATCAACCCTTTGCAGATTGCTTAAGATAATTTTAGATTGTAAGAATAGTATTTTGGGATAATAATATTTTTAGTGATGCAATTCTTACTAATTAATCCATAGGTGGGATGATAACTTTCCCAAGGGTATTTGCGCGTTAGTGAATATAACGATATAAATTCTTACTAATTATCCCATATCTGGGGGCTAAAGAAGTGGATTCAGACCTTTCCCAACCTATTTGAGCGTAAGTAAATATAACGAATACAACTAGAATTGGAACTCGGTTCTCTTATTAACTATTCCATTATCCAATACATCACCCGCAAATCCAAACTTACATCACACAGTATTCCAAAGCGTTCACCCATCAAGTTTGTGACCAGGCTCGACATTGTTTAACTGATTGTAGGGGAACTGGTATTTGAAAGTGATGTGACTGTTAACTTCATATTTTTAGTGGTACTTGGAAGGAATACAATGAAATAAGAGAACGCTAGTAAAAAAACACTCTGGCGTAATTCGCGAAAAGTCATGTAAATTAAACCGAAAAAAAGCCATTTGGAAAGACATATTCGATTTGGACTTTAATGACAACTAATCCATGAGAAAGAAAAATCCGATATCCAAAGTCGCAGTGAAAAGATTGGGAAATCACTCCAAAATAATTGACCAAAAATTCATATCAATTCATACATAATAAAGAAAAGCAATCTTTGAAAAACCATGATCGCCTCTGTCTTTAGTGGCAACCAATCCACGAGAAAGAAAAATTTGAAATCCAAAGATAATAACGAAACGCAATCTTTGGATGACCCATGATCGCCTCTGTCTTTAGTGGCAACCAATCCACGAGAAAGAAAACTTTGAAATCCAAAGATAATGACGAAACGCAATCTTTGGATGAATATGATCGCCTCTGTCTTTAGTGGCAACCAATCCACGAGAAGGAAAAATTTGAAATCCAAAGATGATAAAGAAACGCAATCTTTGGAAAGCCATGCTCGCTTCTGACTTTTGTGGCAACCAATCCACAAGAAAAGTTTGAAATCCAAAGATGATAAAGAAACGCAATCTTTGGAAAACCATGATCGCCTCTGTCTTTTGTGGCAACCAATCCACAAGAAAAGTTTGAAATCCAAAGATAATAAAAAAACGCTGTCTTCGGATAACCATGATCGCATAAACCATAGCAAAAGAATAAATTCTGCAATCATGTTTGCACTTCCACTCAGTGTATCATTTCCGGTTCCGTTCAAATTTGCTTGACGATATAAGAATGTCAATTTTGAAATTTATTTTCCGATTATGCAAAATAATATACGTGATTCCTTACACTATGCAAATGTTATTCAATATGTCAAATAATCTTTTTTTTTTTTTTTCTCAGGCCATCTTTTCCTTCACGATTATCCATTTTTGTATGAAATATTCATCCATTTAGAAAGTGATATCTTTTTTTACTTACAGCACATATTTACCTACACACAGTCACACGTATGGATATATTAACGTACATTTAGGCAGAAAGAATTCATTTAAACAGGAATTGCATTCAACTGACAAGGTCTATTTATTTAATTTCTGTTGTATTTTCCAATTTTCGAATGAATTGTTGCAGATTCGGATCAGCATTAACATACGACACACAGTAGATAATATCAAAATACAACACGCAATATACAGACAAAAAGAGAATGCTCAAAGGTCGTATTCAAAATAAACATCATGCAATCACTAAAATATATTCTAGGAGACGGATTTTCAAATATGCCTAAACTATTTAAAGGGAGTATAAACCAATTATGATACTTATGTGCTTTTGTTTTACGATGGTTAGATGAACAGGAACAACGTATGAACAGCTGACAACGAATGAGTGGTATTAGTTTTATTCGGTCGAATTAATCTATTTATTCTATTTTAATCCACTCGAATTCTTGTAACAAGTTTTTAATGTTGATATTAAATTAATAAAGGAAGTCGCCGTAGTTTTTCTTTTCATTTCTTTTCTCTTTCCATGTAGTTTCAATCTCATACGAGATCATCTTCAGGGGTGAACTACTAAGACACAAAATTACAGTTATATAAATTAAAAGCAACTCCCTTAGACAACACATTAAAAAAAAAAAAAACATAACGGCTTTAGCAATTATTTTTTAAATTATAACTGACCACTTTTATAACTATATACGTGTTTATAATGATAACAGATGGTGTTTCAGGCGAATTTACAAAAAAAACAAAACAAAAAAGAAACCAAAAAATACACCACTGTCATTTAAATTATTCTTTTGTATTAGCTGATGAAGATGATCTTTAAATTTAATAATTAACCGACAGGAACACTGGTTGTTCGGTCAAGAAATGCAGAACGTTTCCTCATAAGGAAACAGCTAATGTTACAGTTACCATTATATAGGCGCCAGACACAGATCATTTCACAATTGCAGTTAATTTAGTTATCAAAAATATCACGTCAATCACACTTGTTCTTGACAAATGATATCATCTCAATCGTTCTTGGCAAAGGATATCACCTTAATCATACTTGTTCATACCAAAGGATATCACATCAATCACACTCATTCTTGGCAAAGGATATCACCTCTATCTTACTCGTTCTTGCCAAAAGATATCACCTCAATCTTACTCGTAATTACTAAAGGTAATCATCTCTATCTTACTCGTTCTTGAAAAAGGATGTCACCTCAGTCATACTTAATCTTTCCAAAAGATATCACCTCAGTCATACTCGTTCTTACCAAATGATATCACATCAATCACAGTTGGTCTTGACAAAGGATATAACCTCAATCTTACTCGTTCTTGCCAAGGGCTATCACCTTAATCATACTTGTTGTTGCCAAAGGATATCACCTCAATCGTACTTGTTCTTGCCAAAGGATATCACCTCAGTCATACATGATGAAGGCCGGCGAGCACAACGGCCGAAACGTTCTAATAGCAACAAACATGAGGAAAATAACCCGGATCGACATGTACCTGATGAAGGTACATGTCGATCCTGGTTATTGTCCTCGTGGTTTTTGCTATTACAACGTTTCGGCCGTTGTTGTCTCCGACCTTCATCAGGTACATGTCGATCGGGGTTATTTTCGAGCAGATAACTTGGAGTTTTAATGGTAACCTTCCTGCTGATGATTGTTGTTATTCGTTACGCTTGATTGCATTCACTGCAGCTTCTCCTTTCAACTGTGCTTCTTGTTGTTGCTGATGTTGCTTAAGTTTAAACACAGCAGCACCTGGCCATGCTTAGCTGAACAATCTATCACAGTCCATTAAATAAAAGGTCTCGGTTTGAAAATCCATAAAGGTTACTCGGATGATGGAGATCAGGCGCTCAAAACGATTTGATATGATTCATATATCTACCATTTGTCCAGGTATTAAATTCTGCAATATTATTTGTCCTGACCTGGCATCTCGGCTTCATTCACTTTCTGACCGGCGTAATGTAGCTTCCCTGTGCCTTCTCTATACATACTTTCATGATAATTACTCGGACAAACTTGGCTATTTATGTAACTAGACTTTGATGCTTAGACTTCACGGATTTAAACGCAGTGCTAGTTGGCTGCTAGGCCTCATCATCTTACAGTTGAAATTACGAGACGTAACCGTAAATTCTATGCTAATATTTTCTTCTCTAGCACTTCTCGCTTGTGTAACTGTCTCCTGGCTTATTGCTTCCCGGTCAACATCGATCTTCAAAAATTTAAATGAAATGTCATTTTTTATGTTTTATCGTATGAAATTCTGCTCTTTTTTTTGGTCTCTCTCCTTAATAATGTTTCTTTTTGTTTTTCTCATCTTCTCTCACACTTACCTACTCCTTTCATCTTAGTGTCTTTATGCCTTGCGTGGGGTGAAATGATTAAAAAAAATATATTTTTTTTTTTAAATTTTATAACTTGTGACATTACATATTTATTTTTCCGATGCGTTTTGGTTAAAATTTTATATCATTTTAAAATATGGCAGTTCGTGCGCATTTTTTTTCCCTTGTTTAATTTTAAAAAATTTATTTCTTCTTGCTTATTTTCAGTCCGGTCTGCAATCATATCTCGTGTAGATGACGGAAGATAACAACATTTGAATATGCCCTTCGTCTCTGCAAGACATTTCGAAAAACCAGGTTCGTTCATTCAAGTGCCATCTCACATCATGCAACAGCCAAATGGATTACAAAGAACCCTTTTCCTGATTTATTCCTTATTCTACATCATTTTTATTTCCTGTCATTTGTTAGGCTTTTGGAATAATCAACTAATCTGTTTGCCATATTTTTTCATTGTTCCTTCCTCCCTTTCTTCTTTGCTTTACATTCTTCTGTTGCTTCATAACGAGGTTCGTTTTCTCTTTCTATTAATTCTTCGAGATTTTTTTAATGCTACTGTCTTCGTTCAATTTCCCTTTACTTTTTTTGCATGTTTGGATTTTATTCGTTACATGTTTTTTTTTTTTTTTGTTTGTTTCTTTCTTTCTTTCGTCGATTTCTTAACCTCTCATCTCTCCTTGACTTTCATGCATTCATTCAGTTTTTCGTTCCATTTCTAAACATTTTATCTCTTCTTTTCATTCTTTCGTTCTTTGTATTTCTTAATATTTTACCTCTCCTTGTCATTCCTTCCTTCCGTTCTTCCTTCTTTCCTTCCGTTCTTCCGTCCTTCCTTCCTTCCTTCCTTCCTTTTTTCTTTCCTTCCGTTCTTCGTCCTTCATTCCTTCCTTCTTTCCTTCCTTCCTTCCGTTCTTCCGTCCTTCCTTCCTTCCTTTTTTCTTTCCTTCCGTTCTTCGTCCTTCATTCCTTCCTTCCTTCCTTCCGTTCTTCCTTCCTTCCTTCCTTCCGTTCTTCCTTCCTTCCGTTCTTCCTTCATTCCTTCCTTCTGTTCTTCCTTCCTTCCTTCCGTTCTTCCTTCCTTCCTTCCTTCCTTCCTTCCGTTCTTCCTTCCTTCCTTCCGTTCTTCCTTCCTTCCTTCCTTCCTTCCTTCCTTCTTCCTTCCTTCCTTCCTTCCTTCCTTCCTTCCTTCCGTTCTTCCTTCCTTCCTTCCTTCCTTCCTTCCTTCCGTTCTTCCTTCCTTCCGTCCTTCCTTCCTTCCTTCCTTCCTTCCTTCCGTTCTTCCTTTCTTCCTTCCTTCCTTCCTTCCTTATCGTATCTTAATATTCCTTTCATTTCTTAATCTTTTTCCTTGTAATGTTTTCCTTCTTATTTTTTAAATTTTAACTTTTTTCCGCTTTTCCCCTATATAATTTCCTTCCTCTTTCTCTTCCTCCTTTCCTCACTTTCTTCCTTCGTTCCATCCATCAATCCTTCCTTCCTTCCTTCCTTCCTTCATACATTCATTCATTCCTTGTTTTGTTTCATGAAATGAATGTGTTCTTTTTTTATCTTTCATTTAAACTTCATTTTACTACTACTGTCTTCGTTTCTTTCTTTACTTCTCCATTATTATCTTGAATTCCTTCAACACATCTTTCTTTCTTTCTTTCTTTCTTTCTTTCTTTCTTTCGTACGTTCGTTCGTTCGTTTTTTTCTTTCCTTATATTATTTCCATTTCTTAATATTTTGCATCTTGTAATTCTTTTTTTCCTTCTAATCTATTTTTATTATGAAGTTACTTTTTCCCCTTTATTTTTCATTTGCTTTACGAGCGTTTTCGTGCATATAATTTATTTAAGCATTTTCTTTCCTCCCTCCCTTCCTTCCTTCCTTCCTCCCATCCATCCTTCCTCCCTCCTTCCTCCTCCCTCCTCCCTCCCCCTTCCTTCCTTCCTTCCTTCCTTCCTTCCTTCCTTCCTTCCTTTGCTTCATAAATACTATTAATCGTTTCTTCTCTTTTTCTGGATTTTCCCCTTCTTTAAAATGTTAAATATCATTTAACGTTTCTTTCTTTTTTTTTTCTTTCTTATTCACATTTTCATATCACTTATTGCTTAAATATTATTATCTCCATAAACTTGTTAATGAAATATTCACAAACTCCGGGAAAAAAAAACAAAACAAAAAAAAACTTACATTCCCAAAATATGCTTCTGCTTTAAATAACTTATAAAAGGTTGATATGCTGTAAAAAAAAAAAGAAAAAAGAAATTGATCAAAATTGGAGTAGTGCATTTTTTTCTTTATTTTCTAAACATTTCATTTTCCCTTTGCTTCTTCTTTGGACTTTTTCTTTTTTTTTCTTTCTCTTATTTATTCTTTCCTTCTTTTCTCTTCTTTCTTCATCACTTTTCTTAATTTCTTTTTTGTTCTTCATTTTCTTTCTCGTTCTTTTTACCACTAAATTTTTTCCTTGATTTTTGTTATATTTGTTTTTGTTTCTCTTTCCTTTTAAATCTTACTTTTCTTTTCTTATTGTATTTCTTATATGTATTTCTTTTTCTCCGTTCTTCATTTGCCGTTTTCATATTCTTACTTTTATTGTTTGAGTTCTTCCTCTATCGTCTGTCTTTCATCCATATCTCAAAATCCACGACACGGATTTATACATACGTATATATATATATATATATATATATATATATATATATATATATATATATAACATTTTTTATTATAAAATATTTCACATCGCTATGCAAAAATTCTCTTTCGAAAATTAAAATTTGTTCCTCGTCAGGCGATGTTGGATAACTTATAAGCAATCATTATGTTCCTAAACATAGAAATTTTTGTATAGCGATGTAAAATATTTTATAAAAAATATGTTCCTCTCCGTTGTATGGAGAACTTTAAAAAAAAAAAAAAAAGTAAATACAATGAACTGTGGATGCTTAATTTGTCTTTTCTTTCACGTTATTTATATATATATATATATATATATATATATATATATATATATATATATATATATATATATATATATATATATATATATATATATATACTCTATGTGGCTAGACGTCCGGTTGCCTCTAGCTAGGATAGAAAATCAGTTGAATTGGCGTCAGTCTGAGAATCTATGCCTAAGCCGTTTTCGCACGGCGTAGAAGGTGAATTTACGCGTATTTATTTTTAGATAAACACGCCAAAGACTTGATTTTATATATATATATATATATATATATATATATATATATATATATATATATATATATATCTCTCTCTCTCTATATATATATATATATATATATATATATATAGCTTATTTATTTTTAGATAAACACGTCAATGACTGAGAGAGCTTGATTATATATATATATATATATATATATATATATATATATATATATATAGCTTATTTATTTTTAGATAAACACGTCAATGACTGAGAGATTGATTATATATATATATATATATATATATATATATATATATATATAAATCAAGCTCTAAATGAATTATATTATATATATATATATATATATATATATATATATATATATATATATATATATATATATATAATATTATCAGGATAATTTGCGTATGAATAGGAAAATAGATAAAAACAATATGAATGTCGGTAAATAATAAGAAGAATATAGCGTGTTATAAGAATGCCAGAAGACATTAAGTGCCAAAAACTGCGCATTACTTGTGAGATTTTCATTTTTCGCTGTTGATAGTTGACAAGGAATTTCAATGGTTTTTCCTTCTTGAACAACAACAAGCATTTAATAATAATAGGCGTAATTATACCATCAATACAAATAATAATAATAATCACCTTATAAATATAACATTCACAACATGTTCGAATGCCTTAAGATGTTTGACATTGCAGAAAGAGCGGGCAGAATTCATTGTTAACTCCATGAATAAATGGAGACAATGAATCCTTCGATGGATTGGCTAACAAAAGAGGTGTCTTTCAGCAAGACCCCAATGTCGCCTTTGCCATTTGTTATAGACATGATGCCATTGACTCTAACTTTGGGATATAAAGAACGATAACATTTGACAAAAAAGTTAGCCTATCAAAGGAAATATTGTCAACCATTAATAATTTTTGGCTGGCATTTCTATCATCTGAAATTCATATTCTTTTCAACTAATCGTAGTAGTAGTAATAGTATCTTGAATTGTTTTACTAGAGGAAGCACTGTCAGCTATTACAGTAATTCCCCATGTATAATACGCATTTTTTCTAAAAAATAATAATCAAAATTAGGGTGCGTATTATGCACAGCTACAAGATATCTTTAAATAAATTGCCGTTTCATAGGTCGATTTCAGTTGAGAAATGACTCACCGAAAATATATGACGATTTGACACAAACATTCGGCGATTGCGACCCCAAAAGGATGTCAAATATAATCATATGTACCTAACAATACTTATAATGTCAAATAAAATAAGAATTATCATAAAACGAAATTAGAATAATATTATTCTCTGTTTAAAACCATTTTTATAAGTGTAGGAAACGTTGGCCGTAATGAAATTGGGGAGGTACATTTTATAGGGTTTGATTACCAAACAAGGGGTGCGTATTATGCATGAGTAGAAGCATTTTCCCACACTTTCAACACAATTTTAGGGGTGCGTATTATGGGTGAAGGCGTATTATACATGGGGAGTTACGGTAATAATATTTGACTAATATTACTTTCATTTTATGTTCAAATGCTTTTTATCTAGTAGCATAATTATTAATATTATGTTGAAGATTTGTTTACCTCATGCAAAGCTATAGTGTCCCTAACACGTAACGAGCTACAGACAGCGAATAAAAAGTAGATAGGCGCTACCGTGGAGAACGGACATAAAATAACAGATTTCAGGAAGACAGAAGATGGCGACTGACGTTTCACTTGAATTTTCGTTGATGACAGTGAAGCAGAAAGTTGGAATTGAGTTCCACAGGCGAAAATTAAAACTATTAGAATATAAGTTTTGGTAGTAACTAGGTATTTCAACAGTAAAACAAGGAAACTAGTTACCAATCAAGTAGTACGTTTAAATCCTCTTGGTTGTCGTACCAAGCTCCTCAGAACAATTACCAAGGAAATATTTCAGTATCTGTCTATATTTCTAAGATGAGCCATCATGTACATTATTTACATTATTCGGACTATTGTCCTCATCTTTGCTGCCATATCTATTACAACATTTCGGCCGTTGTGCGCTCCGGCCTTCTTTAGGTAGTTGGAATGTTTAACTGGACCCTTTATTTCGCTCACTGCGGTAGACTATTCTAGTTCCACGTGACATGTTAAATGGATGTCAGTTATCAGTTATCCCCTGTTATTTCCGTCTGAAAGTTCTCCACTGCCTTAACCGTGTATTGAACTTACACTCTTTGGGTCCTGTAAGGCTTCAATAACACCAGAAAGCTGTAACACAAGGGCAAGTGGAAAATCAGGCGTGGCTGACCACATATGGAGAGAGAAGCGAGATCACCTCCCTCTGTGGAATCAGGGTGAAATCATAGACAAAGAACACCATTGTAAAATTCGTAAACTTAAGGAATCAACACATATGCTAGACCACAAATATCTCCTGAGCCAACCAAGCATAGAAATGAATACAATGGGAACCAGTAATAAGGAGTGCCAGAGAAAAGCGATAATAACAACAAAAATTGTAATGTGAGCTCTGGTAAAAACATGTAATGATAACAGCAAAAATTGCAATATGAGCACTAAAAAAAAATGAATTATATAAAAAATTAGGTTTATAATACCCAGAAATTCATACCCAGATGTCCTCAAGGACAGTGGATAAAGGCGTTAGTTAGATCCAGTGAGAGGACCCCATGATTGTGAGTTCAGTACCCGGTTAAGGCAGTGGAGAACTTTTAGAGGGAAATTAACAGGAGATAACTGAAAACTGATATCCATCAAACATGGCACATGGAACTAGAACAGTCTACCCCAGTGAGCGAAATAAAGGCTTCAGTTCGACATTCCAACCACCTGAAGAAGGCGGCAGCGTACAGCAGCTGAAACGTTGTAATAAATATGGCGACAAAGATTCGTTACTTTCATCTTCAATTTGCGTTGTTTACTCTTTGCCGGTGCTCGACCTTAAAATGACCAAAATAGATGTATTGCGAGTTGTCGTTAACAAAAACGGATTAAAACCATACACCGTAAAGTTAATTGTAATCATATCGAACTGTTCTCACCGCTAGAAAACCGGATGGTCGAGGTACCTAAATCTGGTACCATCCATTTTTCTGCGCATATTTTGGAGTACCTCAATCAACGACTCTTGGCTGGTTAGCCATAACT